AGCAGTGCTCACCGGTACGGATCTGCAGCTGCTGCTGGAGGAACCACTGCACTGGACAGTTATTGAGTGGAGAGTGGCACTGGAGACAGAACCCCGGCAGCGCATCCTGGTGTCTGTGAAGGACAAAGTCAAACATACAAACAGTTCTTTTTCTAAGAGAGCCACCTTCCAGTGGGAGCCCCTCTCCCTGCAGATCAGTGCTGTCACCCAAGCAGACAGCGGCAACTATTCTGCAATAATTGAAAATAGAGATGGCTCCGTTTTGACCAAGTGCTTCCACGTGTCAGTGTGGGGTGAGTGCCTGGACCTCCTGCCCTGCTCCCTCCCCATCCCCTCTAACCTCTCTGTCCCTGCAGAGCCCGTGGGCAGCCCACACCTGGAGACACGCGTGCTGCAGCAGGATGAGGAACGGTGCAGCCTCCAGCTGTCCTGCACTGTGCCTGGGGCCAGCGCCGTGTCCTACAGCTGGTCCCGTGACAGGGAGCCACTGGGCAACCAGAGCGTGCTGGAAGTGCCCGAGGATGTGCAGCCTGGGCTCTATGTCTGCAATGTGAGCAACCCGGCCAGCTGGAGCATTGCCAGAATCGACACGGCCACAGCCTGCACCCAGACAGGTGATCTGTCCTCTGCTCAACCAAAGCTGGGTTTTGGCGCTGCATCGCTTCAGATTTGGGGCCTTCATCTTCCCCCAACCCCCCCTACCCCAAGCTGCTTTGCTGCTACCAGGGAGAAAATGTGCCCTTCTGCTGAAAAGGGAAACATCACTATTGGAAACTGCATGCAAATGGATGTTGTGGTTTCCTGGGCAAGTCTTTTCCCCCTGCACCAGCCGTGACGGGGGGCAGTTCTTTGGAAATCATAGAGTCATCTTCAAATGTCTGCCCTCTGCTTCATGTCACCCCTTCCTTCTGCACTCATTCCTCCCCAGGGCTGTTTGGTGCCATCCCGTGGTGGGCAGTGATGGTGGTGCTGGTGCTGGCTGTCTGCATTGTTGGCTCCACCACCTACTGGTGCTGGAGGAGGAGGAGGAAGGACAGCCCTGCAGGTTTGTATCCTCTTGGTGTAGGGATTTGGCTGTGCATCTCCTCCTGACACCCCTTGTGCCCCTGCGTCCCCGATTAGTGCCCCGCCGTGCTGCCAGCAGCCCCTGGCTCTGCCCTGCTGTGTGGGACTGATTCCCATCCCAAAGCTGCTGCTGGCACAGGAGAATCCACCTCATGGTGTTTGGGGCACTTGTTTGGGTTTTGGTCAACATTTGCTCTATTCTGAGCTGGCGAAGCACCCCTTAGCCCATGGCCGAGAGGAGCCTTCCTTCCCTGCTTCGCTTTGTTGGGATGTGTGGCACTGTGAGCTGTAACTTCTCTTCCCCAGATCTGACCCCCCCTGCTCTCCCAGAACACACGGAGCCATCGCTGACTGTCTATGAGGAGGTGGGCAAAGCCCGAACCGGTCGAGAGCCTGTGAGTGTTGGGATCCCCCCCCAACCCCCACGCTGAGCCCTGGGCAGCACATGGCCCCAGGAGAGCTGCTGTCAGCCTGGACTGCATCCTTTGACCAGTCTGGGGCTGCTTTCTCCTGCAGAACGGGAACAGTGAGGCTCACATAGTAGGAAACACTGTCTACGCTGTGGTCAACCCCAAAGGACAGGTGGGACCCTGTGCTGGGATCCATCCCAGGGGAGATGTGTGGCCCCAGAGGTGAAGGGCTTTTGCCCATCGTTTGTTTTTCACTCCATATTTCCTCTGCTCCCCCCTGGCAGAGGCCCAGAAGCCCTCAGAAGCCTGAAAGTTGCACCATTTACTCCACTGTTCAGCCCAGGATGAAGGTGAGTGTTCTGTGCTACGGCCCCTTTGCAGAAGCAAAGAAGCTCAAATCCTCACCAATGCTGAGGGCACCGGTGGGACCTCACAGCCCTGGAGCTCTGGGGCTGCCCTTAGGGCCTCTGGTGGGGCAGCAGCCCCCTACCCCATCCCTAAGGGCAGATCCACACTTTGCTTCGCAGTCCCCCTCCTTCAAGAGGAAGAAGTTGGACCGAGCCCTGGTTTCTACTGCCTACATGGAGGTAACAGGCACAGGGCAGCAGACGGATGAGCCCTGCACATCTCCTCTCCGAGTACCACGCTCTTGAGTTTCTTGGTGCCGGAATTTGGGTGACTTTCTGGGTGATTTTTGGTGATTCTGGCCACCAGCAGAAGCCCCACACCAAGCACAAAGAATGGCTGCAAACGCCTCTGTTGCACTGACCCTCACCCACTTACCTGCAGGTGACGGCGCCTCTGAGACGTTACCCCTCATCTCAGAACTCACCCACACCTCCCACGGACCACCGCAACTCCTGACCCCCGCAGGAACTCAGATCCC